GCGATCCACCATGTCATACGCTTTGTGAAGGTCGATCTTAGCCATGACTATGCCTCATCTCCACTCGGCCTCAAGTTCCATGACCCTGGCAACCGTAAACACATACTCGCAAGTCTGTCTGCCTTCGCCGGAACACTGGGACACACCTGACGGGCGGAGATGAGGGGCGGTGCGGCGGAGGAGCAGCCTGCAGTAGCACTTGGCAATGCTTGACCCCATCGCTAGGGGCCTCAGGTTCTTGGGGTCAACCGGGTGGAGCTCCTTAGGGATTACCACCATAAGGGCCGTGTTCCAATCAGCCGGGACCTGGGCACTCTTGTACACATCGTTGAAGAAAGCGAGGAGACCTTCTTTCCCCCCTGGAAGAGTAGCCAAGCCCGCCAAGAATTCGTGGCTGGTGCCGTCCACCCCAACTGCTTTTCCCTTCTTGCCCAAAGCAATTGCTTGTTCCAATTCTTCCATGGTAAACTCGTCAATCTCCCCTTGCCAAGGCCCTAGTGGCGGAACAACCTGCCCGGTAGTGTAGATCGTTTCGAGGTGGTCATGAATTACTTGGTGTGGATCCTTGCCATCATGTGCCTCTGCAAAAACCATATCCCAACCTTCATTGCCAGGTCTACGAAGTTGCCTATAAGCAGCCCAGTCCCCTGCGGTGGCACGCTCCAGTCTGGCCCTTTCCCAGGCGGCTCGTGCCTGTTTCCTGGATTTCCTGGCTGCAGTCCAATCCACCCCAAGCCCTGTATCCCGCGCCTGGCGAAACGCATCCTTGACCTCGACAAGGTCCTTGTACGAATCCCCAGGCTTGACTCGCGTGCACTGGGCTGCCAGTTGCACCAACTTCTGCTGATCCAGGGGCCCCGAAACCTCTGTGATGCCTCCAATCCAGATCTTAGGAGAAGTCTGGTACGGTCGACCTTTTCTACCCTCGGCAATATCCACCTGCACCTGCAGCAACTCATGGTCCGTCCCCAAAGTCTTATGCGACCCCTGGTGGATAATCAAGGGCCCCGTCCTGAGCCTTGCACTCAGAACTGCGTCGATCTGCTTGCCCGCTCTGTGGTCCTGACGAGGGCAGCTGGTGGGAACGTCAAAGTCCTGCACAGGCGGTGCAATCGCGGTCAACCCTCTGCTCCTGCACTGGGAAAGGAATTCAAATGTCTTGCCATTCTTGGGTGCTGGAATGCTTTCTCCTTGTTCATCTGTTGCCCAGGACATCAGTGAGTTGACATCGCACCCTAGCAACACTGGTAGTTGTGTCGGGGGAAGCCCTTGCAAATGCGCAGAAACCTGTTCCGCATGCACATGCTGAGACGTGCCTGGTGTGAAGTGTGCTGTCCCAACCCATACCTCCGTTCCTGATGCATGTCTCAGTCTAAACCAGGTGCCCCTCGGCGTAATTTTCCTGCGCATCACGCGCCAGCGGGTCGGTTGAAAGATCAGCCCTGTCCCCCTCCATGCGTCGGGGTCCCTGTGCTGTAAAAACTGCCATTGTTCCAAGGTGGTACGCTGCCAGCCAGGTTCCTGGCGGGCGACTTCTTGCACGATAATTAATGCATCCCCAGGTATGCCTTCCACCAAATCGGAGACGGTCCGGGCGTAGTTGTTCTCCGCCACACCACCAGCATTCCAACTATAAAGCGGAAAGGACACCTTCGAATTTGCTCCGGCCCCAGGCCCCTGCTGATCTCAGTTGTGTGCATCCTCAAGCCCTTGCTTCAAAGCCTGTGCAGAGACACCAAGCTCTCGCGCCAACCCTTCCACATGGACCCAGTGCTTGCCCTCCTTGGTCTCGTCCCAAACCACATCCTTCGTCCCAAGGCCGGGTGGTAACGGCTGCTTGGCACTGCCAACGAAGCTGGTCCCGATCCACGCCCCCCCCCTGTGGAGTACTCAAGGTCGAGGCGTTGCACCTCCCCTGGTGCGATGGCTGAGACTGTCCTCTTGATCCATGCCGCATGGGAGGCAATGTCACGCTCCTGCTTGTTCTTCGCATATGTAGCAAAGAGTTTCTTACCTCCTGCCAGGGTGACCTCATTGTCAGAGACAGCACGAATAATGTCGTGCATTCGGCGTCGAACTTCGTAAAGGCCTTCTCCTGGGCGGGCCTGGAAGGTGCTCAGAGCTGTTGAGCGCCTTGGGCCAGTCGTGAGTTTAGGGTATTTAGGCTTTAGGGTTTAGGGTTTTAGGGTTTAGGGTTTGGGACTTGGGGTACAGGTGGGGAGTTTAGGGTATATAGGGATTCTAGAAGGCTTCTAGAAGCTATATGGACCTTCTATAAGGCTGCTATAACGGTAACTACCCACCGGAAGTTCTACTATAATACGTAAGTATGGACCATAAGGTGCATGTGATTTTCGATATTTCAGAGCTCCAGATTACGGTTCGTCCCTCTGACTTTCAGGACCTTTAACATGTGCTGTCGCAGTGGCCAAGGAAGCATCACCGCCAAAACCGCTGCGGCTCCAGCAGCACGGCTGTCCAGCCTGATTTCGGGCGCCCTAAACTCCTCAAGATCAAACCCTAATGTAGGGGCCTTAATAAGTGGAATAGGGTTTGGGGTATATTATACCATAATTATAATAAGGAACCCCAAAATAGTAGAGGTAACTATTCAATCCCCTGCCCTAGGCTTTCGGGTTTCCGTTCAAACCCCACTACGCTCTTTCTTCTCTCGAACCGGATGGCAAAAAGCTAGGAGTACAACATCTGTTCAAAGCCACCATGCTCCGTTCTAGCTAGCCATTAATAAGTACCTCTCAAACCCTTCGGACCCGTAAAAGTAAGGGGCCTACACCCTCAAACTATTTTTCCTCTATCGAAAATTTCCCTTAGACCGTTTGCCAGTCTCGTGTTTTAGTTACCAACAAAGTGTACAACATTCCATGAACCCATAGCATACACACTGAGGCCATAAAGGGGCTGCATAAACCCTAAACCCTAAAAAAGGTACTTTAAGTGAGTGCATACTGCATAGGTACATGGAGCCTGAGACCCTGAATCTGAATGGAACCCTTAAAGGAACTCCTTTTCAAGTAACCCTAAAACCCCTATAGTACCCTTAAAGGAACCCCTTTTAACGGAACCCTAAAACCCCTATAGCACCCTTAAAGGAACCCCTTCGAAAGGAACCCTAAACCCCTTTTTAGTACACTTAAAGGAACCCCTTAAGCCTTAAACCCTTATAGCACACTTAAAGGAACCCATTCAGTTACATGGGTCTGGACAAGTGACTTGAGCCTGAGCCCCGAAACCCCAAAGTCAGGGCCGCACTCCGCAAGTAGCCTGAAAAAGGGGGTCTGATGCAGGATTTTCTTAAAGGGTTCTTCTAAGGGTTCTATGAGCTCTACAGGTGTTAGGGTGAAGGGCTTAAGGACCAAATCTGCACTGAACAGTTTTAAGGATCAGCTATCGTATGGCGATTCAATTCTTCTAGTCGTATGAGTCCCCTACCTTTAGGGGTTCTGAAGGCATGGGGAAACCAAAAAAAGGCACTACATGGTGGGTTCTAGGTATGTATGTAAATAGGTCACCCACGGGGATACAACTAGGGTTGTGACAAATTATCCCTTGTATTTCTAGGAAACCAAGGATTAATTAAAAGGCGACAAAAAGGCGACTAAAAGGCGATCCGGAAAAGGTGATTCGGGATTCCAAAGGCAAATAAAAGGTGAATAAAAGGTGAATAAGAGGTGAATAAAAGGTGAATAAAAGGTGAATAAAAGGTGAATAAAAGGTGAATAAAAGGTGAATAAAAGGTGAATAAAAGGTGAACAAAAGGTGAATAAAAGGTGAATAAAAGGTGAATAAAAGGTGAATAAAAGGCGAATAAAAGGTGAATAAAAGGCGAATAAAAGGCGAATAAAAGGCGAATAAAAGGCGAATAAAAGGCGAATAAAAGGTGAATAAAAGGTGAATAGAAGGTGAACGAAAGGTGAATAAAAGGTGACTAAAAGGTGAACAACACATGAAGCAGCGTAGCCAGGGAAGACCTAGCCTAGGGACCAGGGTTTGCTCGGTCAGGTGACTAATGACTAGTGACTAGTGATCACTACCCTACACCGGCCCTAGCCCTAGCCGCTCTAGCCCTAGCCCTAGCCGCCCTAGCCCTAGCTCAGCCCAGCCTCAAAGCCCTAACTATCCCAGCCGGATTCCAGCCTCGGCCAAGCGGGCCAAGTTGGCCAAGTTCAAGTGGATGATGCAATGCATTCTTCGGCTTGAGTAGGGGAACTACATAAGACATAAGAACCTGTAAGCATCGAAACCGAAAGGCTTAAGGCTTGGCTTAAGGTTTAATTTAAGTGATTACGGATTACTGTTGCCACTTGCTCAGGTTAGGGCTACGGCTACGGAGAAGGCTAAGACCTAAAACCAAGGCTAACTAAGGCTAACTGCTAACTCAGAGAAGGCAAGCAAGCCACAAAGGCCCAGCGTGATTTTGCATTCGACCTCGATGCTCTGCAGCGAGAGACAGGTTTCTCTGCTGTCGGGACGCACATCATGCACAGGCACAAAATCACAAATCGTTCAATCACAGTGTCGTACTGCGGGATTACAATTGAACGCTGCTGCTGACTGCCAGTGGCAAGGGGTCCTACGACAGCGACATGGTTAATCCCAGCTTAGGCCTTAGGCCCTAGGACTAGGAAAGGAAGGGCAGCAAATGAACTGCTGCAAAACGTCCGAGCTGATCGCGATCTCTGTCGGGAAATGTTTTCAGAGCGATTACGTGAGTAGTAGTTCTCACGAGTCTAGCAGTCGCCAGCCGCCAATGCCGCTAATGCTTACCGCTAGTCAGCTAGTCGCTAGGCACGTGGCGAACAGTTGAGCCAGGAGTCTTAGTGGTAGCCTGGTAGCAGTAGTAGTAGTAGCAGTAGTAGCATTAGTAGTAGTAGTAGCAGTAGTAGTAGTAGTAGTAGTTGTTGTAGTAGTAGTAGTAACTTAGACTTAGTAGTAGTAGTAGCAGCAGCCCGCCCCCAGAGGCATCGCTCTCAAATCGAACTTCACTCGAGCATGCGGTTCTTTTCTTGAACCAAAATCGGGTGGATCATGTTCTCTGGGACCAAACCGCCAGCAATTGCCGGAGCTTCATCCGACAACAGCTTTTGTGCCACCGAACGCGGGCTCTGCACCGCGAGGATGATGATGCCCTCAGAGACAGTCACTCTTGCTTGCACAAGCTTGGTCTCAAAAGCCTCTTTGTCCACGCGAAGCTCCTCCATGATTTCGAAATCCCCCGCCATGGCCCCAAACGTCGTCTGGAACTCTGAGATCTCCTTCAACGCCTGTCGAAAGAAACCCCTACAGTAGGGCCAGTAGGGCTTATGGGGCCTATATCGAGAATATGAATACGGTCTAGAGTCTAGAGTAATATAGTTCAATATAATATAATAAATATAGTTATAGTAATATTTAATGTAGTAATATAGTATAATTAGTCATCGAATTAGATAGAGTCTGGAAAACCTGACACCCGGAACCCTGAACCAAGCCTTTTGGTACTCCTTGTGATCTTCCAGACACTTGCCGCCCTTGAAGTTCTTCAAGTAGTCTACTGAGGCTTGCTTGAGGTCGGCAAGCGTGCAATCGCTGCTCAAACCGGCACGCCAGTAACCAGGCATGTCCGGGTTGCAGAGATCACCGGTGAGTGCTTGCAAGGCGCTGGCCATTTCCTTGATCTCTTCCTTGAAGTTGTGGCAAACCAACTTCAACGCATCGATGAACTCCGAAACATCCAACGGGGCCTTCTCGTCGAAATTCAGGGTCCTCAGCCTCTCGTCGTCGATATCCTCGCCATCCTGGAAACTGTTGCTAGCTCGGCACTGCTCCACGTCCTTGGCGGCTTTTTTGTAAGCCTGGACAGCTCGCATGTACTCTTGCAACATGTTCCGGCGGCGGTCGCGCTCCACACGCTCCTCGAGGGTCGTCCCAAGCTTGGTGTATGCGTCCTGGCTGTGGCGAACCTTCACATTCGCGTCCGCCACGAGCACATTCTTGAGCAACCAGTCCTTAGCGGGGTGCTGGGTCGAAACCACCATCTGATGAACGAAGTCAACCGCCTCCTGCAGCTCAGCTGTGGTTCTGGACACCCCACAGCCAAAAGCCTCAATCTTCAAGCAACGAATGCAAAGGCAGACTCATTCTACGACATTGTCACCACAGCATCAAAAAAATAACCAAGAAGCATTCAGGCTGAGCCATTTGAAGAGCGGGGAGATGCAGCCCCGCAAGATCTGCATGGAATCATCATCATGCTGTAGCTCGAGGAGAGCAGCCTTGCACTTCGGGAAAGACTTGATCAGCTCAAAGAGCGCAGCATCCTCGAAACTGTCCACTTTGCACGCATCGAGAAACTCCTGCATCGCTAGAGCTTGCCCAGCCTGGGCATGCCACTGCTGCAGCTTCCGAGCCTCTGCATTCTGTGGCAGGAACGTCCACGCCTTTTGCACCGTCTTGATGTCTCGGTCTTCATAGCCGATCTGTCCGACTTTGATTTCGGATCCTAGGATGGCTGCGGTTGCCTTCTGGGCCATGTCAAGTAGCAGCTCCTCTGCTCGAGCAGTAGTACCCGGGCGCAGGTCCTTTTTGCTGGTCTCTAGGCGCCCCATAATGTAGACCATGCACGCGAAATCGAAGTCGGAGCCGGCGGCCTTTACCTCAGCAACCTTGGTCTCGATGGCCGAAGCGGATAGCAACCACGTTTTGAGGTTGGTAGCCGTCCGCAGAATGTCGTTGCAAGCCTTGGTCCAGCCGCCCTGGATTGCCATCTTGAGACCGGACATCATGATGTCCTGGGTTCCCTTGTGGTTCAAGATCTGCAACAAACTGTCTGGTTTGTAGGGACTGCCAGCCTGGCACAGCACGTGCAGCCCTTCGCAAACATCTCGAATAACCTGCACCGTGTCCTCCAACTCCTGGGGGAGTTCGCCTCCGCCGGGGACACCTGCCACCTTGATCTGCTCTAGGATCTGCTCCAAGACATAGACAAGCTTGTTCGTTTCCACCGGGCCGGCTTTGATCAACTGATTCATGTAGTCGTTGTAGAAACCCAACCGCATCCTCTCTGCAAGATCCTGCAAAAAGTGGGTTTGATAACGTCACAAGCCGGTATTGTGTGTGTGTATATATATATACACACGGCCCCGCCCAGTACCCAGTCTATGATATCATACATGCATGACACCCCATAGCCACAGCCCACAGCCTATGTCCAGGTCTATGTGATGTGGTATTGGGCGAGATTCCAAAATATAACTCGCTCTAGGGCTCTAGTGTTGACTATTATGGTTAAGATTGAAAGATTTTGATCGATAGGTATATAGACAGATGGGCAAGTGGACAGCCAGATAGATAGATCGATAGACACACCGATAGAAGATAGGCAAACCCGATAGTCGGATAGAGTCATTAGACGGATATAATCCGTAATCGGATATAGAATATAGAATTGATCTAGAATATAACCGTCATATAGTCACGTAGTCAATAACTTCGACAAAAAATAGTATTAAATAGACTCTAAATAGACATGAATGTCTGGCAAGCACGCACATAGAGACTGCGACTGTGCAAAGCAGTGGTGTTTTCCAGCTTTGGTCCACACCAGCGCTCATCGCCTCAACTTAATCGGTAATCACCGTGAATCGTGACCCTCTGTACAAAAGCCAGCAACCACATCTTATGGCCTTAACTACGGGTCACACTTGCCAGTCACTCTGTCACTTGTCGACCTTTCCCATCTGAACAAGGGGAGATCGCGGCAAACCCTTCGACGGCTTCCGGGGCGGAGTGCTGATTGGCGGCGCATCCCGCGTCGTCTCATCGCTGGGCTTCCGTGGCCCGGCTGACGCCAGCTTCCATGGAACTGCCGAAGTTGTCGGAGACGAGGGGAGCCTTTGTTTGCGACTCTTGCGCGGCGCTTCTGGTGTAGGCATTGGCCGCTTCGGTCGGGGTGGTGTCACGTAGCTGCTTGCAGTCACTGGAATCGCGGACGGTGATGGCATGGCAAGTCCAGTACGAGAATAGCTTTCTCGATACAAGCATCTACCGCGCAAACTGCCGCTACAAAACTCGAGCCTTCAGCAAAATGACCTCGTATCTCCCAAACTGACAGCAACAAACATAATGATGCGACACCGACTCAAACACGCTAGTCAGTCTCCAAACCCGTCCTTGTACACAAGTGCCTCGCCGCTCTCAGCCTTGCTGCCAAGCCAATTCAACGCGTCCTGCCGGACCTTCTCATCGTGCATCAATGCCGAACACGTGACGCAGAAAAGGTCGAACCCAAGATTCTCGGTCACAGCAGGAACGAGGGTGGTAGCAAAGTCGCGTGCCCGAGCCTTCCATTTACTCTCGTCGCTCAAATTGACGACCTCCTCGAGAAGGTCGAATCCTCTGCGCTCCATCAGCTGAAGACGCAGACTCAGCGGCAGCTGGAAGTTGTCCATGTCGTTGAGAACAACCAGGACTTGTTGCAACTCTGACTTCGGCAACTTCAGGAGACCGCCCTTGCTCGTCAGCTTGGATGCCGCCTCGCATTCAGCCAGGCGTCTGGACAAGATGTCGTACTCCTTCTTGCCCTGAAGCTTCGGGAGAATTCTCTCCCGTGCCTTAGCAAACTATGTCTCGCACTCCATATTCAACTCGGAGAAAACAACATTATGCCATACTTACTCTATGGATGCCTTGGATGAATTCCTGTTTGTTACGACGGTCTAGCACGGGCTTAGAAAGGTTCCGACTCTGAAGCTATAGTGGTAGTTTATACCTAGGACCTAGGACCTAGGACCCAGGGCGGTGGATCGGGTGAGCTTCTGACGACAACCCAAAACAACAAATCGTTGCAACTTGGAACAGCATACACTCCAGATGGAATTGCCGATGGCACTGCCTTCGAACACGGATGACACGCGAAGCTTGGGGAGGCAGTCCGGGCATGTCTGGAGGCACTCAGCAATCAGGTGCATCTGGGGATCCGTCTCCCGCAGCTGTTGCTGCTCCTCCGCTGCTAGGTTGGCAATCTGGGCTGTCTTGGCCTCCTCATGCTGCGAGCTCTGCCGTGACACAGCTTTCTTGCTTCCTTGCTTGGGCTTCTTTTTCGGCGGAACGTCGGACTCCATGAGCTGGTTCAGGTTCAGCGTGGGAGCTTCCCTTCGCTTGCCGTGCTCCTGCTGTTCCTCACCGCCCGCAGGGTTCCCAAGCCTCGCGAAGAGATCATCGCCCTCCTCCGCCGGCGCAGGTTCAATCTCCATGGTCTCCGCCTCCTCCTGCTGCTGCCGGTTCATCTCGATCTCCTCAGCCTTCGACAGCAAAGCATCGTAATGATGCAGGCTCGGGAGGCCTGTGACACGCAAGGCGGAAGCCTTGCTGTTCATGGCCGCTGTCTTCGCCGTAGTCATGAGTCGCTTGCCTTGTTCCGGATGAATCTGGCGCTCCGGGGTCAAAAGCTTCCGGTTGTGCACATGGCCCATCTGCGAAAAGACTCGGGTCTTGCGGCTTGCCATGATCTCGTCCACGGGCATGCCTCGCCTGGGCCCGGTGAAGCATCTAGCTGCTAGCTGCTGCTAGCTGCTAGCTGGTTTCCATGGTCGCTCCTAGTCCTAGCAAGCACAATACAGCACAGACCTTCCTTTCGAAAACTGACCAGCTTTGTCCTTCGTTGGTTATCCCAAGTACAGGACCTAGCTGCTACCTAGCTGCTAGCGATGCTCGTTCTTTCTGGTGACCATTCTGGCGTATGTGTACCCGAGTGTACCCTCTGGAACCAAGCCAATTTGCCGAGCGTAAGCAATCAGCGGCGACCAGAAGCGAGCATCATGAGCAAAAGGGTGCTGGATAGGGGCGGGAGGGGGGGATGCTGCTGCTGCTGCTGGGGGGAAGGGGGGGGGGGTGATGCTGTTCGGTGGAGCTACGACAGGTGTGGTGTGGGAAAGCGGGATATAGACTCAATATAGACTCTAGACATGGACTCTACATTGGACTACATGACTACATTCTACATGGACAGTTCCTGTCACACTGTCAACTCACCCCGCACACGCTGGACTGGGAATCGTTTTCAAACTGTGTTTCGGCCTCTAGACGCTAGACTCTAGACTGTAGAATCTAGAATCTAGAACCAAAAATCCAGAACAGAGTGCATCTTGTGGTGGTTTTTTTTGGCAGCCACACTAACGCCTCATGGGCCTCATCACGACACAACACAACACTACTCAATATTCCACCAACCACACAACACAACACTATTCACTAGTCACTATTCACTATTCTCACTATTCAATATTCCACCAACCTGCGGCGACACATGCAAAGGCCCCGGCAGGCCCACATGGTAAACCGATTGTACGGGCTGGCCATGCTCATTCAAAGTCGCTGCGGCGGTCAGACCGAGGGCCTTGGGAGTCTTGCCAAACATCCGTGTAAGGTCTGCTTCGGTCAGAACGGCCACCTCGTAGTACGTCATGTGGCCCACAATCATCTCCTCCAGAACTTCACTGGGCGTTGGGAAGTCCTCGTCGAAAGCCTCAGACATCTCCAACCTGCGCTTGCAGGTCGCGGCGAAGTCTCGCTTCAACTCGGGTTTCTGATCAATCTCCGCACGGAGTTCCTTCAGGGTAGCGTAGTGCGGGTAGCCTTCGAGCCACGTCAAGTAGCAGTTGCCACAGGAGTCTCCGATGGGCCGTCCTTGAGCACCGAGCTCGTTCCACTTCACGGCCTTGCCAGCAAGAGCAAATTCCTATGATACCCTGTCTGAAGCCAAATCACGTACAAATTGATTCGGAGCTAACATACCACACTTGACTAGGTCCCTATGGGGGGATTCTCGGGCTTTAGGCCTTTAGGCCCACTTTAGGCGCTTCCAAGATGCCTTTGCGGGAGTTTGGGTATAAGGTATAGTATAGGGTATAGGGTTTAAGTTCGGGGCCTATACGGTGTTTAAGGCTTAAGGGCTTAAGGGTGGTCGTCTCATTGGGGCCTAAGGGCTTGTGGTTTCCACACCAGACTAGTGACTAGTAACTAGTAACTAGTAACAGGAGGCAAATATAGCAACCCAACTGCCACAGCAGCCGTCAATAACGTTACTAACGTTACACAAACAGAATAATCAACAAAGGCCTGCCTTGGGCCCTTCTCCGCATTGCCAGCAAACAATGTTCCAGCCCGATTTGCCACTGCCTTTGCCAGAGCTTGCCGGCGTACAGGCGACCGCTCGTGTTGGAGCTTTACCCACCGGGACCAAAGCTTCCTGTCAGAACTCAGAAGGTGCGACGCACGCACCGCAACAGCTGCTGCGACTACGAACAAAGGAAAGTTCCTGCCCGTGTCTGCTCCTACAAAAAATGGCCTGGTCGTGCTGGCGCTTCTTTGCACCCATCTCAAGCGGTCGGTGGGCGAGGGCGGCGATGAGACTTGCGACTGTGCTGCTTAAACGGCTTAAACACGAAAACCAAACACCTGCGTGTCAGCGCGAAGATTGCAGTCCCTGCTGCAAGTGCAAGTCTTTATGTCAACTTTAGGTCCACGGTCTTTCGGATACGACAAGCAACAACGGCTCTACCGAGCTTTCACCTGCAACCTCGAAACATTTCACGCACGAAGCACTGTCAAGGAAAACCACCAGGTTTTCTTGAGGCCAAGCCAAAGTTCTCACACAGTCCTGCATGCCACTATCACTATCACACCGCCGCAACAGTGTCACGGTATGTCACGGTGGTAAGTTCATGCGAAGACAAGTACCTCGTGAGCACGGTAGTCTGTAGGTCTATAGTACTACATGCTAGCTAACTTTCTCATCACAAGACTGACATCTGTTGCGGAAACAAACACCTGGTACATGGGCGGGTGCGTGAAGACACGCAGTGACTTCAAAAGCTACAACATGGTAGCACCGCCATTCCGAGCAAGGATCACTTCACGAGGCCTTTCCTGTTCATCATGAGGAACCACGACCAAATCATGGTCGCTAGCGACGGCAGAGACATGCCATTCCCAGCCATCGCCCGCAACTGCCTCGGAGTCATGCCCACTGGGACGCGGAAGGTGTTCTGGTGCCCCTGTAGCAGCATGTGCTCCCGGGCGCAAAGAACCGTGTCACTCTCGTAGCTGTAGTACAGGCTGCCAGTTGTCATCGTTGGCATGAAGCCACTTGTGTTGCTGCACTTGAACCGCTGGTGGGATTGGCTTACATCCACAAAGTGCCCTTTCAAGGCTTCCTGCATTTGGTGCCAGGTCCGTTTTTTTCCTTGTGTTTTCTCCAGGGCAACGAGATCAACCAGGTCTTTCACCCGGTCCGTACCCGGCAACCCATGAAGCTGTGTCTGCTGAGACTGCGTCCACGGGCCATACTTTCTGGAGACTTTCAAACGATCCCGCCAAACGACACTTTGTGTCTGCCATGCCTTGGAGTCAGTGTTGTGGGCATCCGCAGCCTGCTTCCTCGGCAAGCTTGCCTGACAGGTTTGTTCATGAGCATCAAATTAAATAACAAGCCACCCCCCTGAACTGAACGGTGACAGAGAGTTTGCCTGGGTGCGTGCACATCAGGATGGTGGACTGTTCTGACGGAGTCTTAGACGCCGGACGTAGTTCCGGAGTTGCGGAACCGGTCACAATGCGTTTCAATGGTCGTAGAAATATACAAAACAGTCAAAGAAACAAACTTGGCGCTGCACACATCCTCTACAACTTGAAGAACTTGAGCCTAGGGCCTCGGGCTGCGTTATGTTCCAGCTTTCCTGTAAACTTTCAGAACCTGATTTTTGGAGGTGTCCCCGGGAGCCTTTTTTTGTTTGGAGGAAGAAAAGGCAGGTGGGGACAGCTTGTTTGGATGCCCGGACACACAGATATACTGTGTCGCGTATCGAAGCTTCAGAGCTCGATAAAAGGGTGCTACGCCCGAGCGCAGCAGGCCCTATGACAGATATACTGTGTCGCGTATCGAAGCTTCCGAGCTCGAGAAAGGGTGCTACGCCCGAGTGCAGCAGGCCCTATGACAGATATACTGTGTCGCGTATCGAAGCTTCCGAGCTCAATACAAGGGTGCTACGCCCGAGCGCAGCAG